TACACATTTAGACTGTATAAAGACTAATATTAAGATGTAGACTTGTTCTCCACAAACCTCTCTATGGGAGACAAAGTCCCAATCTTCTGAGCTGGTACTTCTGCACTGACCAGAACATCTACCGAGATTGTGGTCTCGCTGCTTTTCCATTCTCCAAGACCGAAGATGACCAGGTGTTTGGGGAGAGGCAGTGGGATGTGGACCTGAAAGCAACTTCGGTTGGATTTCCTGCGGAGGGCGAGACACGCCATGACACGGTATGTTAGAATTGGGGTTTTAGGCGTGTAAACTGCTGTATGAAGGGTTTCCAAAAAGGCCTACCTGATGAACTGACGGGGAGCGTCACGCAGGGAACAAAGCACATAAAAACTCAGCCTCCCCATGTTGTTTCAGATACCTTCAGAGCACTGCAGCAGATACTGAAAAGTTTGGTGCGACCTGAAGCATCGGTAATCACTTCTGATTGGCTGAGGGGCGTTGTGAAGACGAACAGCTGAGACAGTAGGCCAATTAATGTATTAATTAACACCTGCGAAGTTCCGCTGTGTCTCTGAACACTATGCAAGAATGAATTAAAAAGCTAAACATGTTTTCAGTGAGTAAAGTATTGCCTTACCTGTATTGGCTGATGAACTGGAAATAGGGCTAACTGGAATTAAAGAAAGGACACACTGAAATATATACACAAAAAAATAGCCAGATGACTTAAAAATATTTGCACCTGTATAACAATGTCAGCCTTATATTTATCGGAGGAAAAAACAGATTTCAGCTATTTTTGTGGAGGAATATGCTTGTAATGTTCAGTTTATGGTTCACCGTACAAAGAGAGATTTTTTTTAATGAGCTTGCATTGTCATTTTTTGAGCTGTGTTTTAGGTTTCATTTACATTTGTAATGATTGGTGGTAAATAAAGCAGTATAAAGCTATATTTATGTTAACACAACATTACAATGTTTTAAGTGTTAACTATTGGCGTATTGTTAGTATACGTTTTATGTTAGGGTTTTTTTCAACTGGTTAGGGTGGAATTTGTTTGTTATTATTCTGCCTCCCTCATATAGGCCTACAGCAAATGAGGGTGGACAACACACCTTCATCATAATACAGGTCAATGTAACAACACCACAAACTGCAGCCTAAAACAACAGCATTTAACATAACATACTAGATTTGCTGGCTGCATTGGTGCAGAAAATATATTTATTCCTTAGGAAACAGTGTATGGAAAAAACATGTCTTCAACAAATATTTATCAGTACATACAAACACTTACTGCATGTCTCCATCAAATAAACAGTCATCATCAAAGACTTGTAATTTGAATTATACTTGAAGTAAGAAATAAATACTCTTTATCCTACTGCTTTCTTTGAATTCAGCAAAACATGAGGGACACTTGATATAATTCTGGTTCTGAGTGGCCTTTGGGGAAAGCTGAAAATAAAACCTGGTTTCATCAGCACATCTGTAACAATTATATTGAACCCCTAATGACACAATTTAATGAAAACACAAGGGACCCTTCTGAAGGGCTTTCTAATCTTGGCTCAGCAATGAGAATGTTATGAAACGTGGCGTCTCGGGACAGGGACACACACACACACACACACACACACACACACACACACACACACACACACACACACTTTAATGACATCTCTTAAGTCTCATGTTTCAACGTTTACCTGCTCTTCAGTTTCCAAACTATGAGTTACTTATCACAGTGTTCATATCATTGATCCAATTCCCAAATGAAACACAAAGAAAATCGTAATTTTCTCTTTATTGAGGAATATAAATCTTTAGGAACAAATGTGACCTTTACTTACAGTACAGGTTGAATAAGCAAACATGGGAAGCTTTAAACTGGTTGCTTTACAAAGTGACTCCATTAGCAGCCAGATCTGTGCCATCTTTGGAACATGTGCACAAGTGAGTGTGGTAGAAGCATCGATTTGGAACAAAGCAACATAATCATTCTAAAGTATGCAAAAAAAAAACACTTTCACATTTTCTTACAAAGAACTGTGGACAAAATACAGTAAGAAGAAGAATTACAACTGCTCCCTACCTCCAAAACAGCAAATATAAGGGAGTCAAATGTAAATATTGAATCTATATTACATAATAAAGAGCTTTATGTGATAAGGATGGCTTTTATTTGTGTCATAAAAAGCACACTCTGTAAAACAGTTACCACTTGCTTCAGTACATTCAACTTATATATTTTACTCCACACAGTAGGCGGCTCCGTGCACAGATTTGTACTATATCATAATATTCCTCATTATCACGTGATTAAACAAAACACGTAAAAATAAATTACGATACAAACAGGAGGATAAATGCATGTAACAGCAAAGCAACATAATCAAAGGTGTATGCACAGGCAACAAAAACACATTTTTAGAGCACTGCTGATTAAGCACCTGTCTTTGTGAAATATATTCTGTGCAGGTGTTCCCTGATCATTGCTACCATAGAAATGTTACAGCTGAAGACAATATATGTTTTATGAGGGGCACTTGACTAAATAACACAGTGCATACACGGGAATATGGCACATGATATTCTTCAAATATCTCTCAGCAAGACATTGGAACAAATGTTGCATTCAAAACTATCTGATTATAAATTCAACATGTGGCAACACAAGCTGAAAGTGATAAAAATAGATATACTTATATTTTATCTTTTGTTATATTATAACTTCATCTTGTTCCCCAACATTGGAATCAAAAATAGTTCCTCGATCCTAAGAGTAGTATTTGATTGTAATTTATACATTCATAAACTTGCATCCTAGGCACTGTAATAAACTCTGTAGTAGAGGGTTTTATTTCGCCATAGTGAGTAGGAGTTGTCAAACTTCAGGAGGTAAGTGCCTTCACCTGGAAAATCGTGGCTCCCCCCCTGGACAGACACGTGACTGTCCTGGCGATATACAGGTAAGACTTCAGCCAGGTTAGAGTTGGTTTGGGTTTTGGAGCCTTTCTCAACATCTCCGTTACCGACGGGTGCTGCAACAGGAATCAAATAAACACACAAAGTCAACACACCCAGCTGCAGGAAAACATATTACAACCCTATTATGGTGTGTTTTGTAGGAGCAAAATGAATGATATGTTTTATAGGCTCATCATTCTGAATTTAACTGACCTTCAAGCTCCTCCTCTTCTTCTTCATCATCGCTTGACTCGCTGATGTGCACAGTGATAGAGCGGCTTGTGACAGGACTCCAGTCGAAATATATACCGAAGCCAATGTCATAACCATCTGTGGCAAACTCCCAGCATACTTTTTTGGCTTCAGGGACAGTGGGCACGTGAACTGTCATGATGTCGCCTCGGTACACTGTCACCACGCTGTCATCCTCCGTTCGAAGCTTTGCCTTCAGCTCCTTTAGTGCAGCAGATGTCCACGTAGTTGGGGGTTTCAGGGGTGGCATCTGGGCTGCCATCAGGAGGAAAACATGGCCATAAACAACTCTGATCATTCCTTATCTTGATTAGATAAGTCTTTTTTTATTGTAATTTGATTTGATTTTCAAAGTAGGTTCATGTTCATAAGGCTTAATTTCATCAAAGAACAAATGTAATTTGTAACTTGATTTATGAAATCAACTTAAATCCAAATGATAGACAAAGCACGGCAGCGGTCATGATGGCGTGCTCTGCAGGTCCTCACCTTTCATCTCAGCGGAGAGCTGACAGCTCCCAGCACTGTTGTTCTCCTCATCTCCTTCCCCCGGGGCCCGCTCTGCTGGGGCCTCTTCATTACCCTGAAAAAGGCATACACAGAAGACTAATGTTATAGCTGAGAAATTACATTATAATGCACTCTCCCCTCTTCTGACATATTAAACAATAAATACCTCAGAATGTTGCACTGAATCCTCCTTGTTTTCATCCATTTCAGCTTGGTTTTTGGATTCGGTGCAGCTCTGTGAAAGGTCTGTGTTCTGGAGCCTGAAAAGATAACAGAAAAAAACATTACAATATTTAAACAGTGAAGATTAGGCTTCAAGAAGTATAACTAGCAACGCGTTTCCTTACAGCAGCAGCTCTATAAGCAGCACTTTCTGCAGCAACAGGCTACCTGTCCATTGGTCTGGTGTCGCTCTGCTTGGATGTTACCCCGGGGAAAGACGAGAAGGAGAGGGATGACAGCCGCGACTGAAGCTCTGATGTGTCTTCTAATCCCTCCATGGCTGTAAAGACAAGACAAACACCTCAGTCTGCGTGGCTGAAAAAGAGAAAACCCCGCCCCTTCCAACCAGAGGCGGCGAGGAAAAGATGAAAACACTCAAACTAACCTCTCCTAACTGGCTACATACACTAACTACTGTTTGACATTATATGAAACATATAAACCAAATTATAGTTAAAGACGTATAAAAGAGCTGTTATGTTTATGTGGGTTTTTTCTCCCGAGCTTCATTATTAAAACTGGCATTAGCTAGGAGGCTAGTTGGTTAGCTCACATCAGCTAACGCTACCGAGCGGGCAGAGAAAGTGCAGCCGAGAAAGCTGCGGTCGCACCGGGCACAGACTTACCACGATGTCACGCTGATGGTATGAAAACTCGACCCCGTTTTACTTAGGTCCGAATCAGGCCATCAGGAAATGAGCTTCCATATCACTACAATCATGTGACGGGTCTCTCCAGTGTGCTGTTGCTTGTCAGGAAAAAACAGACCCTGAAATGTTGACACTTCCGCCTTTTCTCGAACATTGACGAAACTGCGAGTCTGAGCATCGACATCCAAGGCTGTTGAACACATCTGCTTATGGAACATTATAGAAAGCCCCCCCCCGAAACATCTGAGTGAATATGTTTGTATCTGTGTATAAACTGTAGCCTACCCCATTGTTTAAATTTATGTAACTGTATTTGTATGCCCAGCTGTATCCCATGTGGATTCTGTAGGTTTGCTGCACTGTTTAACATATTTTTTGTACAATATCTTTTTGTCAAAAAACAGATCATGTTCAATAAGTTCAATTATGTTCTTGTAGTATGCCAGAGGATACCAACTACTGCTGCATGGTGTAGATGTGTAGATGCAAATGTATTGATTTAATATATGAATCATATTCATTATGAATGACATACAAATACAAAAAAATACTGTTGAGGCTTTTTTATAGTTAAATAATCACTTTATATCATGTTATAATGTGCCAAGCAACATAAGGAACAGCATTTACTCTGAGTGGACATCCTTAAATAAGAAACTGTTAAGTTTTACAAAAGAGTGTAGGCTAATTGTCTTATTTTGCAGGTGTCTCAGAGATGCACTGTTACATAGATTTGCTGCTTGATAGAAAGCACAGCAATGGTGTCTCCTTGGTCTGGGCATCAGCGAGAGAAATCCAGGGAAAAGGTCTTTGTGAGGAAAAAGGAGTCCAATCAGGAATGACATGACTAAGTTAAACATGACAGAAATATATTATAGAGCGATATAGTGTTACACTCACTCCTCTGTAAGCAGGGTAGATGATGCACTGATGAAACTGTGTGTGTTTAAATCCACAGCGTGAGGCCATTTCTCTTTCAGGATTCGGTTGATAAGAGAGAGAGCATCACTGGATCCCAGACCGGTAGAGGTGCAGATATTTAGCAGGCTGTACAATACTGCACACACCCAGCTCAGACCAAGATAAATGCCACCTAAAAATAGGAATTACAAGTCAGCTTACTTCAAATCAAGTGTGATGCATCACTGCACCAAATTTCAGAGGCTTTCTCTTTTATTTTATATAACATTACACAAGCTCTGAACAGAAACTGCAAAGTCTGCAATAATGAAATACATACTGCTCATTGTAAGAGGACACGATGCCTTTATAAGCAAATGATCTGTCAAAGCCTTGGTCAGATGAGTGCAGGTTAGCACCACATCTGCAGTGTCACAGGCGACAAAGTCATACTGTGGTTTGAGAATGAAGTCGTGTCCTAGAAGCTGTGCCAATCTGGGATAAAAGATCAAAAGGAACTGAATACCAATGACTGAAAATCCACAATGCTGTATGTGTTTGAGTGTGTGAGTACCTGTTGACAGGCACAGCAGAAGTGAAGCTGTACACAAGGCAGCTCTTTGAAAGGTGAGAGTGGAGATCAGCACAGACTTTGGGGAGGTGAGAGGGCAGAGAGCAGAGGAACAGAACATCTGCCCACGCTGCCAGTCTGCGATTGTCAAATAAACATTCAACTCCTTTCTGGATAAATTCCACTGAAATAGGGAAGCAGCAAGGCAAACACATGGACAGGATTTAGAGTATATAAGACGAGAATGGAATAGATTTTTTTTGTATAAACTGTGACCCATTGACTCCCAATCCAAACCATATATTATTTCTACATTTGACAAATAAAAGACACCTCTACTGTTTATTGGATCCAAGTGCTTCTTCTATCATTTATGAATATTTTCTTAGGGAATTCTGCTCTTGTAATTTTTTCCAATAGCTTTCATGTAATGTTTTTTATATGATAAATATATTTTATATGATTAATAAATGAAAATTCAGCAAATTCTTTATTGGAAAGTTTAATTAATGTTCAACCACTTCAATATAATGTGACCCAATATCACTGTAGCATTGTATTCCTACATCAGAGAAGTAAGAAGACACTTATTTTTATGGGATTTTAGTGTTTTTAAATGTAAGGTATATCTACCATGGTCTTTCGAGTCCAGTTAGTTTCTTATTTTGCCAATGTACCTGCAGAGTCTGGTGTTCTACTGGAGATCTTAATCTGTGATGGTTTGATGCCAGACTTTTCAAGGAGGGAGGTGAGCAACTGTCTCCCCATGTGACCCATCCCAATGATCCCAACGCAGAGGTCGCTGTCTTCTCCTGGTACCAATGAGTCTCTGTTTGCTCTGCGGCTTTTGATGAGACATCTGTAAAGGTAAACGTAAATCAATCAGAATAACTTAAAAGATAAACATATAGCAGTGGGGAAAATAATAGTGACGTTTCCTGTCTGCGTTTTGATTAACTCTACATATCATTTACCTCAATGAGTGAACCAGTTTACATAGGAAAGATGCGTGCGCGCACCCGCAAAACGTCAGTCCAGCCGAGCGTGCACGAAGGTAAAGTAACTCTTTCTCCTCCTCAGTAAGTGGATTCTCGAAAGACAAACTTCTCACATCAGCTAATAAGTCGTCCTCCATCACTATAAAGTGTCACAGTAAACAGTTATAAACCTTACGATATATTCAACATATTCTTTGTCCTCCTGTTTCCATGGCAAAAAGACAACTTCCGATGTAACGTCCTATATTTCAAAATAAAACTGTTCGTGACAAACGCTGCGTGTTGCTCTACTGCGAATCACAAAAAAAGCACGTAAATCGAATAAAAAAGTAATAGAAATCGTTGCAATTTGAATAAAAACGTTTTGTTCCTACACCTGATCAAATATTGTAAATGTTTCAGCATAAGATATAGAAACGTTCAGCTCAATTACAGTTTTGAAATGTAAACCATAGCTACCCAATACTACTCTTCTTAATCTAACCGTTTTTATTTCACTTTCATGCTTTTAATACAAATTGAACTGTACACTTATGTACATGAAATATTATCCTGTCCACATAAACAAGAAAATAGGCAAATCAAAAGCCTGCAACACAACATTTCACAACTAATATCATCAGTCAAATATACACAAAAAAACAATTGTGCAGGATATTAAGACTTTGCTTCGTGGTTTTGAATCATTTGAAAATGTGAGTGTCAGAATGACACACACAACACTAGAAACTATTTTTAAATTTTGAAGCAGCTTTTTATAACAGCAGCTTATTGTGAAAATCCCACAACTTTGATCACAGCCCAAAAGAAAATTGTGATACTTTATAACAAGTTAGGGTACTCCTCCCACCTGTCATTAATATAAGCGAGTTAACCTTAGTCACATAAAAGTGCTGACAACAGAACTTTACACAGCTGTAACACATTCAGTTTGCATGAAATGTTACACATTAGGGGGATATTTACAGTAAATAAAAGTTAAATTAATTAAGGGTCATTACACCTATATTTATGTTTCTTGACATCAACCCCCACACACAATTTGTAAACAAAGCTGCTTGAGAATGAAGCCGATGTTGCACCTCATGAGACAACAGCCTATTTTTCTTCATTGTTATGATTTAGTATTTATAATTCCATTATCTATCCCCCAGCAGAACATTTTCCACATAAAGACAATGTGTGGCTTACAAATCCATCAATCTTCATCCATCCCTTTGATTAAACTTACAGTTAGACGATGCTCATAACCATGAAGGCACTGTGAGGGAACTGGTAAGCTGACACAAGCTGAATCACAGTAGCTCAAAATGCCACAAGATGAACAGTATTTTATTTACACCAGGGCTGTATGAGCACTTCTGAGATGTTCCTATTCGAAACAACGTTCTGAAGAAAGTTTCCGACACATTTATTCTGCACAGTCATGGTTTCAGGTACCATATGGCGATAAGTGTTACTCCTCGCCCTGCCTCCATTTCTGAGACTCCTCCTGGCGTGCATCAGGGTGAATCTGGTTCCTCATTCCACCCAACACATTGGAGGTGGCTTCAGTGGCCATGATGAGGGGCTTCACCACAGCTGGGGGCAGCTGGCGGAGAACCCCCCCCACTGCCCCCGTCATGCCGCGCTGCTCATGCTCCCGGGTGGCTGTGTCATAGATGGTCAGGGCTGTGTCTGTGATGCCCTGTTGATAGAAACAACACCAATTCCTCATTAAAAACAGTTTCTCTCAATTACATTCTCAATGCCATTTTCTGCCCCTAGGGGTCTTTCAATCAAAACAATAACATAAGATGGAGTTTGGTGGCGTTGAGTCTTTCATTGCAGTCAGCATCATCCAATTAAGAGTCCTACAGTTTAGGTGGTGTTATCAGGGGCTGCATTATCTAACCAAAATAGTGTTTTGTAAAAATGTGGCTTAAAGCTTGATTCAATTTATGACTGAATGAAGTAGCCCAGTGAAGTGAACATATTGGTCATGGTATCTTTAGGTTTGTTTACCTCTTTTACGACAGTATAGGCTTTGGCTACACCTTCTCTCAGGTCCACTGGCTGATGAGCCAGTCCGTAATGGGAGAAGCGTTTTATTCTCTTCGTGTCTCTCTCATCAGGCACTGGGGACACCATGTCATAGGCCGTCTCTGCTGCGGCCTAAAAACAACACAAAACACAAGAATGTCAGATGTATCGTAATGACTTTAGTAGTAAATCCAGACTTTTTTAGTAATGGTGGAAACGGGTCATTACCTGGATTGTGCGCACCATCCTGTTGGTGAGCTCCAGAGCGGCCATAGCAGTGGAAGTTCCAAAGGAGGCCGTGCCGCGCTGGAACCCACGGACTATCCGACCGTCTTTCCTGTACTGCTCAATCGGGAGCCAGACCAAGTCCCTGAATCCCTGAACTGAACAGAATAATCATCTTAAGGACAGGGAAGACATTACCTAAGAGACGCACCAGAAGTAGGAGGCTCATATACTGTAAATTACTTTCACTGCACTTATCTAAGGAAATCATGAATTACACTTTGCCCAAGCTTCAAAGACATTGATTAACCCTGGTTTTATCCTTTTTTAAATATTGGAGAAAAAAATATTCTGCAGTTATGGCTTACATTTGTAAAAGCTGCCAAGAGGTAACGATAAACTGATTGTATTGAATAGCAATTGAAACGGGTTAAAAAAAGACAAGCAGTAATAGGTCTAGCTCATTATATCACTTGTCCTAATTTAAGTGTTTGTCATTGTTGACTAAGTGCCACAATGTGTGAATATATAAGTATATATAACTATCATAAAATGTAATCATTTATATAATTTCTAATTATTGTATAAAACAGAGGAAATGTATACAAATGTAAAAAGATAAATGCATATATATTATATATATCAATATTTTTTTTTAACCGTGTAACCAAATCTAATTAAACTAAAACTTAAATCTCCTCTTATTAGCGCTTGACTGTAGTTACTGTGCCTATAGCTCGTTTGTTTTAGGTTTGATATGCGAACAGAAAGTCAATCCAATAACCATTAAAGGACATTGTGTAATGTAGGTTCACTTGATAACACAAAACGCCTGTGACTGGATTCATACCCTGTATATAACTCACCGAGCTGGACCAGAGAGTGAATGGGCCCCACACCCCCCAGGAGTCCTGGAAGCTGATTCTTCTTTATGTCATTAAGCCACTCGTTTATTGCATAGGAAAACAGCTTATCCACACCTAATAATCTGAAACCCATATTAGAAAAGGATTAATTTCCTGGGAAAGAGTATTAGTACTGAGTATGTACGACACCTTTTAATAAGGTCTACTACTTTCATGATATTAAATAATAAGCAACACAATGGGGTGTGAGATATTACTCAGATAAACATACCCTTGTCTATAACACAAGCGCCGCAGTTTCAGCTCTGAACAATTAAGCTGCGTCAACCCGATAATGATCCCTGCAAATGTTCCCTGAAACAAAGACGTCCTGAAATCATTCACAAAGCACAAGTTAAATAATGTGATATTAATACAAAACCCTCTTCGATGATTTACCTGCTCCATTGCTACATGTTTCCCATGGTAATCCAAGCGAATGGGAACCTCAGAGGTAAATCGAAACTCCCTGTTAGGAAAAGAAAACGTTGGCAAACATGAAACAAGCTATTCCTTTTTTCTTTAAAGCGGTTTCATTGTTTGGTTATTTAACACAGACCTAAAGAAGATTGGCTGGTCTGTGAAGGAAGGAGTGGAGGCTTCGTCGTCAGTCACTTCCTCCCTGCCACATGTGGGGTAACCGTTGTGGCTCATGCGTCTCTGAGCAGGCACTGAGATGATGGGGGCCGGGTCCTGGCTGCTGCCCGCCTGCTTGGAGAAGCTGCAGGAGATCTCTGGGGCAGACGCTTTCTTTGTGGTCACACAAACAGCTGCAGAACAAATATTATCATGAGTCAGTGTTTCAGAGTGAAGGTTTTGTTCAATGTCTGAGTTTAGGTATTTGGGAATTGAGTTTACCTTCTTGAGCAGGCGGGGAGAAAAACTCTACTTCAGTAGCAAGACTGGTGAAGAAGTCCTTGAGGAAGAATAGTGCGTCCTTCAAACAAACAAAAAACAAGACTTTCACCCTAATGTTGCTGAAGATGCTGGTACATACAGGGGTAAATGAAGAAATAAAGGTCCATATCTTATCTTACATTTAATATACGCATCTGCATGAGATTTTACCTGATCAATGTTGAGGCGAAGAGGCATCAGTGAAACACGCAAACAGCACTCTTGAGGAGCTTGGCCTGACTCCGGACACATGTGCAACGCCTTCACTGTCAACTGAGACAAAAGAAGAAAGACGTTACACAAAGCCACAACTTGACTGTGTTAATGTGAGTGTGTTGGATCCCTCACCATGTTAGAGTGGGCTTTTCGAGGCATTTCTTTGCTGGAATACAAATAGAGGAACTTGTTCATCTGTGAGGTAGCCAGTCTGTCTCGAATCTCCAAGTCCTGCACGACAAACACCTGCCGAGAGACTGGCTGATCCACCGCTGGCCCAGAAGCCACCTGGGCCTGTGGGTACACCTCATGCTGAAACCTCACCTAGGGAAAAAGTCCAAGACAAGATTGTGAACGGTGAAGATATGACGTAAGGTATATGTAAGTAGACTATGGGCCTGTGTTGATTTAGCGTTCTTCTCTCCTCATTGAAATTTGAAAATAAGATGCTGGCGCTCAGGAAAGGAAATGCTATAAGGACACTGTAATCAACCACTAAGGCTCATTCCAGTCGAGGAGGAACTTTACTTTGCTGAGTTGTATCTCCATCAGGACGTCGGCGTTCCTTCCTCTTCCGCCTCCGGCCCGTCCTGAAGCCTTGGCCTGTCTGACTGGAGTTTGAGAGGGGGAGCAATGGGGTGTAGTCCTGCAAGGCAGAGAAAAGGGTAGAATCAAACAAGTCTGTTGAGCACATGCAATACAGTGTGTGCACGGTCACTTGTTGTTTTGCTCACCCCCGGCTTCTTGCAGGAGAGGGTGTGAAAGTTGCACCTCCAAAGTCTTTCCCGCCATACAGGTGCCAGATGACAGATATCTCTTTGACGAGGTAGCGCACCTCGGGGGTGGGAAAGTTCATGGCCCCGCGGCTGGAATCGCTCCCGTCTAGAGGCTGACTGAAGTAATCATCTTTGATTTCCACAGGATCTGAGGTAAGAAGTTTCACCACCGGCTCCTGGTCAAGATCCTGAAACACATAACTCACAGTGAGCCAACACAAGTCCCCAAGCTTTCAGACACGCCCACCTCTAAGATTTTCATGATTTTTTTAACGCTGCTGTGTGGACGGGCCGTAACTGTGTGAAGGAGTGTGTCCTGACCTGTCCTCTGGACCCGGGTGTCTCCAGGATACAAAAGTCGTCCGTCTCTTGGGCCAAGTTAGGGACAGGAGTGATGAGAGGTGAGTGAAGCATGGGGTAAGTGGGGCTTGAATCTTGGATACAATTCCCACTCTCATCCGGGAACAAGAATAGGTCTGAGCGAGGCGGATCGTGGTCTTGATTTGGCTCCTCACATGCACCTATGGATGTGTACAAAAAGAATAACCTCTAGTTCAGCTATATCATTTATGGAGCTAAAACTTTAATATCTACTGAACCTCACCATTCTGCTGCAGCCCTGGTGCCTGCTGCCCGTCGGTCTCCTCCATAGCTTCACTCATCAGGTCCTGCAACATCTGCTGCTCTGTCTCCGCCAGCAACAGTGTCTGAGATGTGGGCCGGCTGGTACGCTCCACCTGTACACAAACACACTCATTTTAAACACGTAAGACCAACAGAGTTTTTTTAAATCCTATTGTAGCTACTGTATGTTAGCGTTAGTGCTGACCTTGGCTCTTTGTGTTGTGCTGCTCTGCTTGGCTTCTGGTTCTGCAGGGGGCAGTAAGTCTCCGTAGCTTGCCACATACTGAATGAGGTTCATGAGGGCGGCGCAGGAGTCCGAACACGTTCTGATGTGAATAACGTCACTGGAACAGCGCAGCTCAAATCTGGGCTCCAGCTACACGCCAAGAGACAGTCAAAACGTTTAATTTCAACCATATTTTCAAGAGCACACATCAAAAAACATGAATGTCATCTAAAGACAGACAACTCTTACCAACTTTCCGTCCACTCCAGGTTTGACAGCTGTAATCCTCAGCTCCAAAGTACCCATGTCTACCACTTGGACATAATCTGTGACAAATAAACAAAAGCTAACATTGATCAATACATTGAAATTGTAATATTCGAAGCAGCCTTTTAAAAAGATCTTCTTACCGCGCGCCAGATTGACGGAGACAGCGTTACTCTTGTCTGAGAGGAACAAAGCTGCTTCATCCAAAATGATCCTGTGAATAAAAGATATTTTTTTATGACTCAATTGTGATTACATTTCTCGATTTTGTATCAGAAACACCAGTAGCCTGCTTATACCTGAGCGTTGAAGAAGAGTGGTCTAGAGAGACACTGCTGGAGATGCTGAACGTTTCTACAACCA